AAGAGGAGGCTGACCGGGGACCTGACACACCTCTCCGAGATGAGCCGCTCCGGCAACCAGGTGTCCGAGTACATTTCCAACACTTTCCTGGGTAAGGCATCACATCCCGAGCTTTTGGGTGATTCCAAAAAAGATAGCAATTAATGGCAGCCTAAATGCTCACCGGTCAATATTCATGCTGGTTTTCCTTTGGGGCAAAGCATTGTTTAAATGTTGAGATTTTTTTTTTTTTCCACTTCCAAAATGGGTATAGGGAGGAAAATAATGCGGGCTTTGAATAAGTCTGTCTGTGGAAGAATTCCTTCTCCAAATAAAAGTTGTTTGGGGTTTTTTTTGTTCTGTTTGGATTGAATTGGTAACTGCATTATGCAATATTTGATTTTTTTGTGGTGACCTTACATAAAGGACAAAGTCACACGAGCCCAACTGCGTGCTCTCATCTTTGCAACTACTGCCTCATGCAGCTGCATCCTCCCCCTTCAGAGACAGGGTTCAGACAAACAGGCTCAGCCCAGACATTTTTTATAGTTTTATTATATAGCTGCTCATTTTTCACTGGAAGGCAGGAAAAAGGAAAAATAACATTTTGCATGTCATTAGTTTTGTTGGAGCTCATAGGACTACCAGCATGAATTAATCCTCTGCGTTTGCCAAATATATTTGCTGTGAAAAATGTAATTTTCGGCATTTTCAAGCAACTTTAGAATTTATGACTGTTTACATGTAAAAGGAAGCTTAGCTCAGGACCCTCACAGACTTATCTCTGAGTCCAACTGCTTCAAATTCTGCGTGGGTGTGGGATGCCAGAGCTCACGGGTGACTCGTGCCCCACGGTTAAGATGTCCCAGGACACGTTCCCCAGCTGACACCCAATTATTTCCATTAAGGGGTCATAAAGTGATTTCAATATCCAGTTGCAACTGGAACCACAGCGTGCATTGAGGCCACATCACATCATGAATAATCCATAGAAAGTCTGTAGCTGCCTTTGTGGGAATCCATTGGCCCTGTCTTAGCACTCGACTTAATCATGACATCTGGAACATGAATTAGTCCAGGGAGTAGCAGCAGGACCGCCCCGGTGCCAGCCTGTAGGCCACTTCAGTGGGCACCCAGCGTGCTGGACAGCGTGACCGCCGTGGTATTTTCAGGGAGTTTGTTGGTCGTCGGCTCTTGCCAGCAGGTGTGTGTCTCCGGAGCAGGATGCGCCGCAGCAGAAATACCCGACGTGGGTGGATAACGGTGGACCGAACGCAGAGCTTCTCAACCATGGGCGCACTCCGGTCTGTGGAGCCCGTGTCTCAACTAATTAGCTGAAGCCGCTGATGGGGCTGCATTCTGTTGGTTTGAAATTAAATGAGCATGCAAAATAAGGGAAGTCTACCAGCTGAGGAAGTTGAAAAGAAAAAAAAACAACAAACCAAGGATAAGGTGTTCATTTAGAGAATTATTAAGATTGGGAAAGACCTTTAAGATCATCAAGTCCAACCATCTACCCAACGCACCCGTGACCCCTAAACCGTGTCCTAAAGGGCCATGTCTGCATGTTTTTTGAACATTTCGGGGATGGCGACTCCACCCCTGCTCGGGGCAGACTGTGCAAG